CCATTCTCCACACTCCAGCCTTGGGGACAGTGGGGGACTCTTCAGACAGGGGCTCTACCATGTTCCACGCCCTTCAGTCTCTGGAATCTTGAAGATTTTCTGTTGTTCCTGGGGCCAACAGCAAGCTTGCAAAACAGCATGAATGAAGAAAGTCACACGGGAAATTTACTGAGACCAGCAGGCAGAGGCAGGGCACAGGAACTCAGAATTTAGGACCTGGCCCTGGGGGACTGCACAGCGAGGCCCAGGATCTTCACACCCAAATGGAGAGAATATGGCCTGAGCCCCAGAGGAGCTATTCTAGCTGCTTCTAGGAGGAGCAGAGACAAACCTTTCCTGCTCAGGCCTGCATTGTTCTGGCTTGAAATCCTGATTCCTCTTGTTTTAAGGATGCTTTATAATACAGCAATAAATATCCGAAAACCATTCCCATCCTGCTTCCTGGAAGGAACAACATTTAACTACTCCTGGTTTTGAGATCTCTTGGTGGCTACTGACAAATAGGAAGACATCTTCTGTCCTGTGATTTATTAATCGCAGATATTGCCTATTGATTTTGCCCTAGGGTAGGTAAATACTGTAAGGTTAAGGTTTTATTTTAATCAATTGTTTTTTGAGACAAAAACAATGACAAGGCTAATGGAAGGTCACTCATGGCCCATTTCTTCCCACCCTCAATTTCTTTTCTTTATTTCTTCCTTTTTTTTTTTTTTTGAAGTGCTAGGGATTGAACCCAGGGCCTCATGCATGCTAGGCAAGTAGTCTATCACTGAGTCATGCCCCCAGCCCTTTTTATATTGAGACAGGATCTTGCTAAGTTTCCCAGGCTGGCCTTGAACTTGTGATCCTCCTGCCTCAGCCTCCTGAGTAGCCTGGCCTCTTGGCTCAGTTTCTGCTCCACAAAGTCAACAATTTTCAGTTATTTTAGCTGTTGTCTGGTACTAACCTTTGGATTCCTCAGTAGCAGACTTAGACAATATTTTGATCTTTACCTTTTAGACATTATCTATTGCCTTCTGACTAAAGAAAATGAATTTTAGCTTTCTTAAACTCCACCACCACCCCTTCCTGATACACTAACTTGGATTTCTTGGCATTCACAGTAGAATTATCACAATTTTTGAGTAACTCTGACTTCACTATCTACTTGACTATGATGATACAAATATTATTCATAATTGAGCTATATTTATAATATATATATATATTTCATTTCTTAGAGCTAATAATTATTCTTTTTTCTTTTGCTTGGCTTTCTGTGTAACTATTAACACTTTGGTCAAAACCTGAAGTGTTTCTGAATGTAAACAAACATGTATTCACTTAAAGTAAAAGAAGGCAATTTCTCTCTACCGTGTAATATGAAGATCACGAATCAGTTCCACATTCTTGGGAGATACCCTTCCTGAAGTTCTCTGGCTTCCTGCCCACATCTACCCTGGATGCTCTCTAAGACTGCTACATGGCTATTGCCCTAGGGCTTCCTTATCATGGGAATTTCTTTTATTCCTCTTTTATGGTGGACACCTGTGTATTCGGTGTGTATTGGTATGTAACAAATCACTCTAGACGTTAGCAACTTTAAAGGACAAACGTTTATTTTCTCACCGTTTCTCTGGAACAGGTCAGCTAATGGTTCTGGTTCAGGTTTCTCATGAGACGAAAGTTTCTGAAACTGGAGCAGCTGCTTCTGAGCTTGCTCACATGCCTCTTGGCAGGAGGATTCAGTTCCTTTTTTTTTTTTTTT